TAAGCATAGGCTTAGGATGAAAGGCTGGAAGAAGATTTACCAAGCCAAGGCCCCCGAAAACTGGCAGGAGTAGCAATACTTATCTCTGACAAAGTAGACTTCAAATCTACATTGATTAAATGAGATAAAGAAGAACATTCCATAGTAATAAAAGGAGAAATAGACCAAAAGGAAATAATAATCATCAACCTGTATGCACCCAATGTCAATGCACCCAATTTCATCAAACATACCCTAAAAGACTTAAAAGCATAGATAAACGCCAGCACAGTGGTTTGTGGAGACTTTAACACATCCATTATCATCAATAATAGGTCATCCAAAAAAATCAATTAAAGAAATCCAAGATATAAATATGTAATAGATCAAATGGACCTAGTGATTGTCTACAGAACATTTCATCCAACCTCTACACAATATACATTCTTCTCAGCAGCCCATGGAAACCTTCTCCAAAATAGATCATATCCTAGGCACAAAGCAAGCCTCCAAATATATAAGAAAATAATTATACCATGTGCATACTATCTATCCAATGCAGTAAAAGTAGAACTCAACAACAAAAGTAAAGACAAAAAACATGCAAACAGCTGGAAACTAAAATAACTCATTACTAATGAAGAATGGATCATCGATGCAATAAAAGAGAATTAAAAAGTTCCTGGAAGTCAATGAAAAATGAAAAAACAAACCTAGAACCTATGGGACACAGCTAAGGCAGTCTTGAGAGGAAAGTTTATAGCCATGAGTGCATATATTAAAAAGACTGAAAGATCCCAAAATCAATGACCTAATGATACATCTAAACTCCTAGAAAAACAAGAACAAGCAAATCCCAAAACAAATAGAAGGAGAGAAATAATAAAAATAAGAGCTGAAATCAACAAAATAGAAACCAAAAAAAACCATACAAAGATTAATGAAACAAAAAGTTGGTTCTTTGAAAAATAAAACAAGATCGATAACCCTGGCAAACCTGACTAAAATGAGGAGAGAAAAACACCCAAATTAGTAGAATCAGTAAGGCAAAAGGGGAGATAACAACAAAAACACCATGGAAGTCCAGGAAATCATCAGAGACTACTTTGAGAACCTATATTCAAATAAATTTGAAATCTTAAAGAAATGAACAGATTTCTAGATACATATGATCATCCAAAAACTGAACCAAGAGGAAATTAATCACCTGAATAGACCTATAACACAAAATGAAATTGAAGAGCAATCAAGAGTCCCCAAAAAGAGAGTCCAGGACCTGATGGATATCTCTGCTGAATTCTATCAGACCTTTAAAGAAGAACTTACCACCCTCCTTAAAACTGTTCCATGAAATAGAAAGGGAAGGAAAACTGCCAAAACATTTTTATGAAGCCAGTTTACACTTATCCCAAAACCAGGCAAAGACACCTCCAAAAAGGAGAACTATAGGCCAATCTCCTTAATGAACATTGACGCAAAAATCCTCAACAAAATAATGGCAAACTCGAATTCAACGCATATCAAAAAGATTATTCACCACGACCAAGTAGGCTTCATCCCAGGATGCAGGGTGTTCAACATACGAAAATCAATAAACGTAATAAACCACATTAACAGAAGCAAAGACAAAAACCACTTGATCATCTCAATAGATGCAGAAAAAGCCTTTGATAAGATCCAACACATCATTTCATGATAAAAGCTCTAAGAAAACTAGGAATAGAAGGAAAGTCCTCAACATTATAAAAGCTATATATGACAAACTACAGCCAGCACTATACTAACGGAAAAAATGAAACCATTCCCTTCTAAAATCAGGAACCAGACAAGGATGCCCACTATCTCCACTACTATTCAACATAGTACTGGAATTCCTAGCCAGAGCAATTAGGCAAGAAGAAGGAATAAAAGGATACAAATAGGTAAAGAACTGTTCAAAATACCCTATTTGCAACGACATGATCCTATACCTTAAAGACCCAAAAAACTCTACTCAGAAAGCTTCTGGACATCATCAATAGCTATAGCAAGTGTAGCAGGATATAAAATCAACACTAGAAAAATCATTAGCATTTCTATACACAACAACAAGCAAACTGAAAAAGAATGTATGAAACAATTCCATTTACAATAGCCTCAAAAAAAATCAAATACCTAGTGTAAAACCTAACAAAAGATGTGAAGACCTCTACAAGGAAAACTATACACTTCTGAAGAAAGAGATTGAGGAAGACTATAGAAAGTGGAGAGATCTCCCATGCTCATGGATTGGTAGAATCAACATTAGTAAAATGTCGATACTCCCAAAGTAATCTACATGTTTAATGCAATTCCCACCAAATTCCAATGACATTCATTAAAGAGATTGAAAAATCTACTTAAATTTATATGGAAACACAAGAGGCCACGAATAGCCAAGGCAATACTCAGTCAAAAGAACAATGCAGGAGGTATCACAATACCTGACTTCAAACTATATTACAAAGCAATAACAATAAAAACAGCACTGGTACTGGCACAAAAACAGACATGAAGACCAGTGGAAAGAATAGAGGACCCAGATATGAAGCCACACAACTATAACCAACTTGTCTTTGACAAAGAGCTAAAAATATATGATGGAGAAATAGCAGCCTCTTCAACAAAAACTGCTGGGAAAACTGGTTAGCAGTCTGCAAAAAACTGAAACTAGATCCATGTATATCACCCTATACCAAATTAACTCAAAATGGATCAAGGATCTTAATATCAGACCCCAAACTCTAAAGTTGATACAGGAAAGAGTAGGAAATACTCTGGAGTTAGTAGGTATAGGTAAGAACTTTCTCAATGAAACCCCAGCAGCACAGCAACTAAGAGATAGCATAGATAAATGGGACCTCATAAAAAAAGCTTCTGTTCATCAAAAGAAATGGTCTCTAAACTGAAGAGAACACCCACAGAGTGGGAGAAAATATTTGCCAGCTATACATCAGACAAAGGACTGATAACCAGATATATATAGGAACTTAAAAAACTAAATTCTCCCAAAACTAATGAACCAATAAAGAAATGGGCAGTGAACTAAACAGAACTTTCTCAAAAGAAGAAATTCAAATGGCCAAAAAACACATGAAAAAATGCTCACCATCTCTAGCAATAAAGGAAATGCAAATAAAAACCACACTAAGATTCCACCTCACCCCTGTTAGAATAGCCATCATTAGCAACACCACCAACAACAGGTGTTGGCCAGGATGCGGGGAAAAAGGAACCCTCTTACACTGTTGGTGGGAATGTAAACTAGTACAACCACTCTGGAAAAAAATTTGGAGGCTACTTAAAAGCTGACATTGATCTACCATTTGATCCAGCAATACCACTCTTGGGGATATACCCAAAAGACTGTGACACAGGTTACTCCAGAGGCACCTGCACACCCATGTTTATTGCGGCACTATTCACAATAGCCAAGTTATGGAAACAGCCAAGATGCCCCACCACTGACGAATGGATTAAGAAAATGTGGTATCTATACACAATGGAATTTTATGCAGCCATGAAGAAGAACGAAATGTTATCATTCGCTGGTAAATGGATGGAATTGGAGAACATCATTCTGAGTGAGGTTAGCCTGGCCCAAAAGACCAAAAATCGTATGTTCTCCCTCATATGTGGACATTAGATCAAGGGCAAACACAACAAGGGGATTGGACTTGAGCACATGATAAAAGCGAGAGCACACAAGGGAGGGGTGAGGATAGGTAAGACACCTAAAAACTAGCTAGCATTTGTTGCCCTTAACGCAGAGAAACTAAAGCAGATACCTTAAAGCAACTGAGGCCAATAGGAAAAGGGGACCAGGAACTAGAGAAAAGGTTAGATCAAAAAGAATTAACCTAGAAGGTACACACACACGCACAGGAAATCAATGTGAGTCAATGCCCTGTATAGCTATCCTTATCTCAACCAGCAAAACCCTTGTTCCTTCCTATTATTGCTTATACTCTCTCTACAACAAAATTAGAAATAAGGGCAAAATAGTTTCTGCTGGGTATTGAGGGGGGGAGAGGAGGGGGCAGAGGGTGGTAAGGGAGGGGGTGGGGCAGGGGGAGAAATGACCAAGCCTTGTATGCACATATGAATAATAATAAAAAAAAGAATAATAAAAATAAAAAAAAAAAAGAATGCAAAAATAAGTTTAGTTAGATACGATCCCATGTATTTGCTTACTTTCAGTTCAGACAAAAGTTACATGTGGAAGCTAAACTGCTTTGCTAGATGTTAAACAGTGAGCAGGTGTCAAAGCTACACATAAAGCCAAACTTTACTCCAAAGTTCTACAAACTACAATGACTTGCAGCTTACCCTAACCAACTAATCCACATGAAACTGGTAAACAGTAGAACACAGTATATATTCAGAACGCAGTGAATTTAGTCTGCCTCTTTCACCGAACCCATAATTTGAAAGATTAGAGACAAACATGGATTTTTTTTTTTAAGTTAACTTCCAATATAGCACCATAACAGTCAACACTTATATGTGTTAGTTATTGTTTTAAACTCATTTAATCCTCACAAAAGCCCTAAGACTTTGGTATTGTTAACTTATTCCATTTCATAGAGAAAACTTAGGCCCCAAGATAGTTAAAACTTAACCCAAGGTCACTGAATTCCTAAGTAAGGTGCATGGCTTTTAACCAGACCAACAGACTGTATTATGCTCTGCAAACCACAACTATGTGTTGTCCTAAGATGAGCACACTTTATATTCAGGTATCTTATGATGCACAGCTACTAAATGGCAACTACTTCCTGCAATGGCAACCTAGGGAGATGTTGTTCACTACTTGGTGTGTTGATTTTTCACTTCATTGTGCACGATGCCATCTGGTTTGACTCTCTGTAATGCTCTACTAAATAGAATGCTTTGAATTGGCTTTTCTTCAATTACTCTAAAGAGAAAAATTCTGGGGGGGGATAAAGAAGAATGATAGCAAGGGGGTGAATTTAAGATATATTTTAAGTGCTTCTGTAAATGTCACAATGTACAACAATAATATAATAAAAAGGAAAAAAAAGAAGAGTTCTGAATAGTCTGGATTTTTATAAAAAACTAAATTGGAAAGCAAACGATTTCAAGAGAAAAGAGTAAGGCTAAACAACATACCTGTATCAGCTGCTTACCTTGAAGTATTTCCTTCTCATTCTCGTCATGTTCATCAACATAACTCCAGAGTTGACTCCAGTTTTCCCATAGTATGGGTGCCTAGCAAACCGATTATACCATCCTATTCGAGGCTCCTCATGTTCTAGTGCCATTGCAGCAATTTGTGTGGAATTAAATTTCTTCAGTAAAGACCAAATATCATCAACAGGTCGTAAAAATAGGATGTCCGTGTCAACATACAATAGTGAATCAACTTCTTTCAGGATTAGCTATGAGAAGAGATGTTTGAATAATTAGCTATAATTCTATTTATTTATGAATTTCTTTTTCTTTCTTTTTTTTTTTAACTTGGTATTGGGGTTCAAATTCAAGGCCTCACATTTGCTAGGGAGGCACTCTCCTCCAGCCCCTAATTCTATTCATTAATTTAAAAAATAGATAAATAAAAGGAGCTTTAGTTATAGACGATATACTAATTTTAGTTACAGAAGATATACTAATTTACATCATTCCAGTATCAACTAGTAACTGGTACAGCCAAATTGAAATCAAGGCCATCTGGCTCAAGTCTATGGTCTTATTTCTAGGCTAACATCTTCCAGCAAATCAAAGAAAATGTGCACTTAACAAGGGTGAAAATAAGACTTGTCTTAGGAGAAAAACTGGCCATGTTGCACTTTCAGAGATATGTTAAATCTCCTGATGACACTTTCCATAGAGATTTTCAAGAATAATTTTTTATTCTGCCTTACCCACAAACTTTAGAACCTGGCTCTTACAATTTTAAATTTACTGCCTATCCTGGAATATTAGTAAAATTCAATGATTAGGTTAAACTTAAACCTTTTTAGTTAAGAATACAATGAGACCGGGTACCAGTGGCTCAGCACCTATTATCCTAGCTACTCAGAACACAGAGATTATAAAATCAAGGTTCAAGGTCAGCCCAGATAAAAAGACCCTATCTCAAAAATACCCGATACAAAAAAGGGTTGGCAGAGGAGCTTTAAGTGGTAGAGTGCCTGCCTAGCAAGGATGAGGTCCTGAGTTCAAACCCCTGAACTGCAAAAAAAGAAAAAAAAAATCTAATGATTGATGTTAGAGCCTAAATAGTGACCGTCTCTTATTCAGAGACTGGTGAAAAAGAGATGATTGTAACTGTGTCGTTTTTTGGGGGGTAGAGAGGAGTGAGAAGAAATGTTTGTAATATCAACACTCTGCTTCTGTATCATAATGCATCATGTGTTTACAGATCAGTGTATTCTAGCAGACCAAGGAAGACACTAAAAGCTTCAAGTTCAATATTGCAACCAACTGACAACTGGAAGTCAGATGTTAAGGTTGTATGATAAGCACATCAGTATTTGTCTTTGGTTCCTTTTGGGGAAGAAGCACAGCATAATTTATATTAATTCTTTTTATTCATCTATTTCAAAGGAAGAGAAGCTCAGTAAAAAAGTTTATCATTAGGAAAAATAAAGCATTGATTTTCTCAAATCTGGTTAAAAAGGTGTCAATGTAACAGTAAAGTATGAGGACAATTGGACAGGTTTCAAGTATTTTCTTTAGTACTTAAAAACTAGAATAATTAAATAATCTGGCAAATTTCATATCACATCAGCAATTAAATTTACTAATAAAGTAGAACAAAATGGCAGTAACTTCATGCTTTTCTTTCATCACTTATTATTCTTCAATAACATTTATGTATCTATTTATTTAAGGTCTGTCTCCTCCATCAGACAATAAACTATGAAAATAAGCAACCTGTCTCTTCCAGTTCATCCGTATACACCCAGTACTTTAGTACAGGCGAACGGCAGAACATAAGCACTCATATTAGTTAAATGAACATGATACCGCAATAACTGAACATAAAATTTATACTAAAAACTTATAAAAGCCTAAAACTTCTTTGGCTTTTTTCCAACCATAATCCCTCATTTGTGTGCTTTCTACAATGGAAGGCAAGACTGAGAAAGGTCCTAGGGTGCAAATTTTTTAACCACAGCATCAAAATACTGCTGAGGCAGATTTGGCTATGAAAATTATAACTTTAAATCTATTTGAGCAGAGTGGCTCAAGTGGTAAAGCACCTGCCTAGCAAGCATTAGGCTCTGAGTTCAAACCCCAGTACCACCAAAACAAAACAAAAAATCTACTTGATATCCTGGATTAGGTAAACTACAGTCTTAATATGCTAAGGCAGCCTTAAGAATAACAAAGAACTGGATGTGAGGGCGATCTGGCTGCGACATCTGTCACCCCATTGATCGCCAGGGTTGATTCGGCGATCTGGCTGGCTAGGCGGGTGTCCCCTTCCTCCCTCACCGCTCCATGTGCGTCCCTCCCGAAGCTGCGCGCTCGGGTCGAAGAGGACGACCATCCCCGATAGAGGAGGACCGTTCTTCGGTCAAGGGTATACGAGTAGCTGCGCTCCCCTGCTAGAACCTCCAAACAAGAATAACAAAGAACTAATGGTTCTTCCCCATAATTCACATGCTTTCTAGGAACATGTATGCTTTTAAATTCAGTATTTATACTACTGTAAGTATTTTCTGCTTGTTAATTTTTAAATTAACAATACTATAAGAATTTTAAATGTCATAGTTGTCTAAAGAACTACTGTGAATTTTAAATTATGAGTGAAATCACAAAATGGAAGCGGAGCTTTGTTTGATATATATTTTTAGATTAAAATGGAAAATCAGGGTTTTTCACAGAATGGCTCCACTCAGCAATGAGTTCACTACCTTATGTTTTGTGATTGCATTTATACATAAGTTAGAAAAGGCAAATGAGCGTGGTGTAAGACAGAAATGTCATTAATAATGCTATTCTTTATTTCCCAAGCTAACGTGTATAGTTTACAACTTGAAGGACTATGCTGGCAAAAGACTTGGCTCCAGTGTGATCTGACCATTACTTCTTTCCTAGAGATAAAACAGTTCATAGTAACTGCATGAGTTAAGTGTAAAAACTTATTTCAACAAAAAATTTCTAAAAATTTTTCTTTTTTCTTTTCTTTTTTTGTTGGACTAGGGATTGAACTCAGGGCCTTGCACATGCTAGGCAAACACTCTATCACTGAGCCCTGTTGTTTTTTCTGTTAATTTTGTTTTTATTTTCAAATTTTGTTTTTGAGAGATGGTATTACTTACTTTGGCAGGACTGACCTCCAACCCATGTTCTTCTTGCCTCTGCCTCCCAAGTAGCTAGAATTACAGGAATACACCACCATGCCCAGACAAATTTTTAAATTTTTAATAGGGTTTTATTACAAGTTTAACTTGTTCAATGGAAAGTTTTTTTCTCATATTCAAAAGGAAAAATAGCATATACACATGTGTACTTATTCAGTTATCTAGGCGTATTTGTAACTCTTTAGACTCATCTACATAAAAGTAAGTTTCCAATTTAAAAAAAAAAAAAACACAAGTAGGGTGGGGGTGGGGAGACTTACTGGCAAGAATAACCTCTGGGAAGCACATGGTTTGAAGAGTTTTTTCCACTCCACTGCATTCTCCTTTGGAAAGGTTATGGGGTATAATGTATAATTAAATTTCTGAAGAAATGACCAGCTGTCAAGCTAAAAAATAAAAAAAATTAAATTTAAAAGTTTAGATTTGTTTCATGTTCAATTTTCTCTGTAATATCATAAACATACAGTTATGGAATGAGAAAGACAAAAATAAGATCATATACATTTTATGTGTATAGTTAAGAAAAAGATTCTTACCTTTGTAGATGCCACAATGCACCACTACCCAGCACAACAATAAAAGGAAAAAAAAAAAATTCTTCTTTTTCACCATTCTTTTTGTTTACATTCAAAATCTAAAAATCACAGTAATATGCCAGAAAAGATTTTACCATTAAGAATAAATTATCAGAAAATAAATTTTAAAAAGTCATCAAGTTGGAAGAGCCACACAGGAATTTGTCTTCCTTAACTTGACCTGCGTAAATTCTCTCAATTTCTAAACAAATTGGAATCGGAAAAATCAAGTGCTAACACAGTATGTATAACAAAATTTTTACATTCAAATTCAGACTAATATAAAAATAGTGCCTATTTGTGCAAAATTTTAATGTGCACAGCCAATCCTGATAAAATATTCTGAATATGTATTCAAAGCCAATTTTTAAAAAATCATTACCAAAAACATATACTGAAAATCTATAATGAGCATTCACTCTTCAATATCTTGAATGAATTTCAAAGGCACTAAACTGTTTCAAACCCACTTAAGTATTGCCTGTCATTGTTGCTTAACAGACTTGTTCTGATGGGTTTTGTTGTTGTTTTGAGGATACAGAACTTTTTTTCTGTTGGAGACAGGGCCTCGCTACATTGCTCTGACTGGCCTCAAACTCCTAAGCTCAGGAGATTCTCGACTTAGCATCCCAACTATCTAAGACTAAAAGCACATGTCACCAGGACCCACTTTTTAAAACTGCTGATTCAAGTTATCTAAAGAGCATGCAAAAACAGCAAATGGGTGGGGGGGAATGACGGGACTAGTTTATAAAGCAGGATAAATATGATGTCTTTTGAATTATGACTGTATTCAAGTAATTTTTAAAATAGTAGTATCTTCCAACATAGTCTACAGAAATACCTTTGCAGCAACACTCTGCTTTGGTGTCTGCGTCAGTTTAAAAATCTAACAGTTTCCCTTCCCAACTTATAAATCACTGAAAGATCCTTTCAATACCAACTTCAAAATGGAGTATTTGGCATTTTCATTTAACATTACAGTATTTAGTTATTTTGGATACCAAAAGCATGCTCTACCAAATATTTGATATGCTTTCATCAAAAGCAATACCAGATATTCTCAGCATCAATTGTAACAGTCAAAGAAAGCCAAAGCTTTCTCATTGTATTTTCAAGTTTCACAGTTAGTAGGCCTATTACTATTCTTTTACCCTCTAGAGTAAGAGTAATTCCTCAGTTAATATTTTAGAAAATAACCCAGATAAAGAGATCAAGATCACAAAAGTATGTATCAAAAACATATACACTAGACATAAACTCAAGTAAATTTTTAATACTTCTTGTAATCAAAGATTTTAGCAAAAAACTAAAAGACCTGAGATCACAAGTGGTATTTTTCCTTTAACATACAAATGAACTAAATTCACTTGAAAAAAAATTAAAGATCAAGCATAAAAATCCAAATCAGTTTAAAAGCTTGATTTAGTGGAGAAAAGATACAACAAAAGGGCGAGGGGAGTAGAGCGAGAGAATGACAGGACACTCGCATTTTCTTTATCACCATCTAAGGTATTAAGATCTAGGTCAATTTCTCTTATTATGTTCTGTTCCTTTATCTGACCACTAATTCTTTACAGCAATTTTTGTTGTTGTTATTAAAGAGGTTATAAGCCTGCTCTCATTTTCTACCCTCACTAACAGCCAAGTATGACTAAATCCATGCCAGAGGAATTCTGGATTGAAATGTCACCACTACTCTACAGAGTGTCCTTAAAGAAAAGGAAGGGACTGCCCTTCCTTCACTTCTTCCTCTCTTATGTCATACATTGATGGCTGGAGCTTGAGTAGCCATATTAGACCATAAGGTAAAAGCCTCATGCTGCAAATGGCTCAGCTACAACCAGAAAAAAAAACAGCCTCTCTCCAGTTTTGAAAAGCAGAATAAATATTTTTGTTCAAGGAAGGAATAAAACATTCTATTACAGCAAACTACTAAATATTCAACTCTATGAACTTGATTAAGTCTCAAATACTTACTCTGTCTTTAAAGCTATCATGTAGTTGATCTTCAGCAAAAATATGGAATTGCAGAGGTTTGACACTGAAAATAAGAGCTGACTTCAACATGATCATGGTTTCTTCCAGTCTTTCACCACAGGCGACAACAGCAAGATGCATTTTCTCAATAGGCTGTGTTTTCAAACTGTATCTAGTAAGAAAGAAAAATACATTTCCCAACAGTTTTTAGCACATGTTCACAACTACAAAGTACTTTTACCATATTCAAAAACAGAAACTCAAAACTTCTATTTAAGAAACAAAAACATATCAAATTACAAAACGTCACAATTCAAGAACCAATCAGTCATGTTTCTCAACCAATGTTCCTTACTAGGGATCCTTGAACAAAAACTGACTTTCAATTCTCCTAGGAATTCATAACTAGTCCCATTGTAGCTACAGAAAAGTTAATTCATTACTCATACTAGATACCTTAGGATATGAGGACTTAATTCTCTCAAGAAATCTGTCAAGAAAGAGACCATTGCCTGGCTGACTTGAAGGACTTCCATTCAAATTTTCAAAAAACTCATTAAAGCACATTCTTATTCTATTTAAAACCCCTTCCTACACCTCCTTCCACCTATATACAGACTACTATGAAGCAAACCAGTCATAATTTCAATCATAAACATTCCAGTATTACGCCCAGTCTTAAATCATGCTAACTACACCCCAAGATAAAAACATTTCTTTTTTTGGTGGGAGGGAGTACAGTACTGGGGTTTGAACTCAAGGCCTCACACTTGCTAGGTGCTCTACAACTTGAACCACTCCACCAGCCCTGTTTTAGGTTGAATATTTTCAAGACAGGGTCTCTCGAACTATTTGCCTCGGCAGGCTTCGAACTTCAATCCTCCCAATCTCTGCCTCCAGAGTAGCTACGATTGTAGGTGAGTCACTTCTTACAGTGGTTTAAAAAAAAAAAAGCTTTCATTAAAATACAGCCCAGAGTGGCCCAAACCTGTAATGCCAGCACTCAGGAGCAAGAAGATAGATACCTTCAGGCCAGTCTGGGCTACATAGCAAAAGCCTGCCTGGAAAAACAAACAAAAAAACATGATTTGAGAATCTCTAACAGGCAGGATTGCTTAATTTTAAAAGTAAGCCAAAATAGCCATATGCTGTTTTGCACAGAACTTTGTACACCCATAGATAAGAGGTAAGGCCCTGAGTTCAAATCCCAGGGCCACCAAAACCAAACAAACAAAACAAAAACAAAAATAAGAGGTACAATAAACCTTAAGAAAAAAGCAAAATGTTCGTAAAGGGAGAGAAACTCCTCCTAAAATCAGCCCCAGGACACCTTCTCCCAGGAATTTTAGTAAGGATTGTTTTGGCCACACTGCCCCCTCTTTTCTCCCAGTTTCCACAGGAGTAGTGTCAAGTACATTGTATTTACTTTTATCTTTGGTGTCACTTTGTAGTAAAAGCATTACATAAGGTACAGATGTCAATACCTAAATTGACAAAAGGATATTCATTTCTGAAGATGTCTATGCCTAGGACACACCTTGGTGTTCCTATACACCAAGGACGGGGAAAGCAACTGGAATAGGGAGAAATAGAAAATCAGCTTCTCTACTGCAGGAAGTACTAACTAGAACCTTCTCAGCAGTCATAGCAAACAGCCACCCCAGTAATTCTAGCCACAACTGAATAGTCTGTAAAAATGTGCTATGTGCTGGGTGCCAGTGGCTCACACCTGTAATCCTACCTACTCAGGAAGCAGAGATCAGGAGGATCATGGTTCAAAGCCAGTCTAGGCAAATAGTTTGTGAGACCCTATCTCGAAAAATACTCTTCACAAAAAAGGGCTGGTGGAGTGGCTCAAGGTGTAGGCCCCAAGTTTAAACCCCAGTATCCCCCTGCCAGAAAGAGAAAAAAATGTGCTATTTTAGTCACAGTATGAAGTAAAAGTTCCTGCAGATTTAAAGAAATGTCATCCAAAAGGACATTTTAAAGTCAAGCCTATTGTTCCATGAGTAAAAGAAATCCTCAGATAGTGCAGTATCAACACCAGCATGACACCATGACAGCAGCTGTCTCCACATGCAGTATGGAAAGCTGGCCCTGGCCAAAGAGCCCAGCAATCACAGAACTGATTCCTCTGTGGGTTCTGTGGGCTAAGCAGAGACCAGGAGAACTTTTACGTGAAAAGGCTGCAGCCCCCTGGTCACCAAGAGAGGGACCCCTGCCAGATGGTGATTTTTGCCAAAGGCCATAAGGAGGATCAACCTTCACAAAACCCCCTAGGCCAGCCAGCCTTCCCACCCACCCACCCTAAGTGATTCCAGGCAGTCTCCAGGTGCTGAGCTAAAATTCCTATTCCGAATCTACTAAACATAAGTCACTTATAGTACAACCTCTAAACTGTGTGACAGGAAAACTGCACATTTAGTTCATGTGATGGGGTCCACTTATAGACTGGCAGTAGTTTTCAAGTATCCCCGAATGACGTCATTGTAGCGTTTTCCTGAACTCGGTTCCATGAGCAACCTCCAGAGGGCCCTGAACAATGTCATGGCTTTCCCTAACTGAGCACTGTGTCAGGGGTCTTCCTTAGCTTATCTCTCATTTTCACTACACCGTAGTGCCCATTTTAGATATGAGAACCAGAAGCTCTCAAACAGAAAGGGGGGGTAGGGTAGGAGCTCAGTGCTGGGTAAAGTATTTGCTCATCATGCACAAGGCCCTGGGTTCAATTGCCAGCTCTTAAACAAACATAACAAAAAGCATGACAGTAATGAGTAACTTATTAGATTTTTTTTTTAAATGAATCCATGAGTCCAAATGATATTCAATAAAGGAGTAAGGGGAAAGAATTCCCTCATATGTGGACATTAGATCAAGGGCAAACACAACAAGGGGATTGGACTATGAGCACATGATAAAAGCGAGAGCACACAAGGAAGGGGTGAGGATAGGTAAGACACCTAAAAAACTAGCTAGCATTTGTTGCCCTTAACACAGAGAAACTAAAGCAGATACCTTAAAGCAACTGAGGCCAATAGGAAAAGGGGAACAGGTACTAGAGAAAAGGTTAGATCAAAAAGAATTAACCTAGAAGGTAACACACATGCACAGGAATCAATGTGAGTCAATGCCCTGTATAGCTATCCTTATCTCAACCAGCAAAAACCCTTGTTTCTTCCTATTATTGCTTATACTCTCTCTACAACAAAATTAGAAATAAGGGCAAAATAGTTTCTGCTGGGTATTGGCGGGGGGAGAGGAAGGGGGCGGAGTGGGTGGTAAGGGAGGGGGTGGGGGCAGGGGGGAGAAATGAACCAAGCCTTGTATGCACATATGAATAATAAAAGAAAAATGAAAAAAAAATTGCAAAACACACACACAAAAAAAAAACCAAATACCAACCAATACATGTAGAAGGAATAATAGAACTATAAAGATCACTATTTTGCAATCATCTTTGTAACAGATAATCTAACTAAAAACTGCATAGTAACAAAGTATTTTCCCCATACATTACAAAGGACACGAAGATACTGTTATAGTGCAGAAATGGAAGAACATCACCTTAACCATGTGATCAGATATAATCTACGTGATAAAATATTATAATGTTAAGTATATGTCACCAGCTGACTCCTCATAGCATGACCAAAGAAGAATATAACACCTCCTATACAGCACACCTGCCCCAAAGCCGGAATCTAACATGAGAAGACGGTCAGGCAAATCTAAATTGAGGTCCATTCTGAAAAATAAAACATATATATATCATCTCGTAAAGACTCCACTGTCACCCTCCCTCTCGCCATCTAAAAAACTAAGCCGGGGAATAGTACTAGAACAGAGGAAAGTAACGACATCTGTGAGCTGATGAAATGGACATCTGACTGGGTCCTGAATGGGGAGGAGACTAACAAAGGACACTAACAGGAAAAATTGTAGGTGTATTGGAAAATGCCCTTATTTTTAGGAGACACCTGCTGAGTGAGTGTGTGTGTGTGTGTGTGTGTGTGTGTGTTCGTTCCATGGTTCGGGGGTGGGGGGGAGGGAGTGTCAAAATGGGAGAGGCAAATAAGGAAAAAGTTAGCATTTAAACAAGGTTATGAATGACAAGTTCTTATAAAATGCAGTTAATGTCCAAACCTTAGGAATAGGCTTAGAATAGTCTTATTTTAAGAAAATCTCTGCTATAAAGGAATTATAACCACCTTTCTTATTTATTTAGTCAGCATGAATACCTTTCAGTGTATTTTTCTAGCTTAAGATTAACTTAGTATTCTTTCTATAAGAAACAAATAATATTTAGGATAGGAATTAGGATTACAATGAAGTATACGAAGTCAAACTAAATAGAGTTAAAATTTTATTTATTTATTTACTTGCGATACTGGGGTTTGAACTTAGAGCCTTCACCTTGAGCCACTCCAACAGTCCTATTTTTGTGATGGGTTTTTCCAAGATAGGGCCTCTCAGACTATTTGCCTGGGCTGGCTGTGAACTGTGATCTTCCTGATCTCTGTCTCCTGAGTAGCTAGGATTACAGACGTGAGCCACCAGTGACCAGCTCAGAGTTAAATTTTTAAGGAACAATCTCTTCATACTAAAACATATCATGAAACTTGCAGTTGAGTTGGGCAATGGTGGCTCATGCCTATAATCCTAGCTACCTGAGAGGCTGAGACCAGGAGGTTTGCTCTTTGAGGCCAGTCTGGGCAAACAGTTCAAGACACCATTTCCAAAATAATCAGAGCAAATGGACTGAAGCTGTGGCTCAAGCAGTAGAGTGCCTGCTTTGCAAGCACAAAGTCCTAAGTTTGAACCCCAGTCCCACCAAAATGATACCCCCTCAAGAAAAAAACCTTGCAGTTGAATATAATGGAAAACTACACTGAAAAACTAACAATAATTTCCTTAATGTACAGCTCTTTTTAAAGAAGTTTTTTCCTCTTACTATAAACATTGTGTTGAATTATACTGGATGAAACTAAAAAAGTTGGATATAAATGACTCTTGAAAAAAAATGACTCTTGTTTTAAGAGTCATCTAAAACTCCAATATGAATGCTAAGTATTAACTTCTATAATTTAAGATAATACATAAAAATACACCCCTTAAAACTGTTGAGACCCCTCAAAACAATACAACTGACCTTAAACCTTCCTTTGACCACAGAACCCATGAATCCAAATTGAATCCAAAAATCCAGAGGAGGATGATGCCTCAAGGCCGTGTAGGCAAAAGCGAGACCCCAGTGGAAAGATAACAAAAGCGAAAAGGGCTGGGGCATGGCTCAAACAGAAGAGTGCCTACCTAGTTAAAAGCCCTTAGTTCAAACCCAGCATTGCAAAAAAAAAAAAAAAAAGCTAAACAAATGTAGAAATATGTTCAAGAAATAACCAATGAATGAAATCATTTTGGCCTAATAAATGCTAAAATTATAACTGCCAATAGTTATGGTGAGTCTAGTACACTCACACAATACTGGCACAAGATTAAATCCATGAAATTTTTAGAACACAATTTAGTGATATAATTCATTCTTTGTAACATATATTCAAACTTTTTATATGCTTTATATACTTTCCTAATTTCTTTTTATTTTAGTTCTTTTCCTTCTGAAACTTCTTTTCCTTCTGAAACTTTTGCAGTACTGGAGCTTGAACTCAGGGCCTACACCTTGAGCTCTTTTTTGTGTGTTGAGTATTTTCAAGATAGGATCTCAAGAACTATTTGCCCAGGCTGGCTTCAAACCACGATCCTCCTGATTTCTGCCTCCCAAGTTGCTAGGACTACAGGCGTGAGCCACCAGCACTCAGCTTCCTTATGTAACTCTTCAATTCAGTATCTCTAAAATATTGTGTTTTAATGTATTAATTTTTGTATGATTTGAGCTTTTAAAAAAATAGATCTTGGGGACGTGGATCAGCGGTAGAGTGCTTGCCCAGCATGCGGCCTTGGGTTTGATCCCCAATACTGAAGAAGAAAAAAAAAAAAGTCCCTTAAAAATATCAAATCTTTCTCTTTATGGTGGGAACTGCCAAGCACTGGGGTATAAAAGAGAACTACAATCCTGACCTGCCACAATTTGCAGTTGTGTAAAGACAGATTTTTTTCTTTTTTTGGTGGTATGGGACTTTGAACTTAGAGCTCTGCACTTGCCAGCAGATGCTCTCCTACTTGAACCAGGCCTCCAGCCCAAGACAGAGTTTTGTAAGAAGTGGGAAAGCATGGTAATTGCTTGAACAGAGACAATCAAGACTGCTAAGGAAGCTCGTTACACAAACATCTAGCCTAATGAGGAAGTATCAGGGAAACCTTCCTGCCAATGATCCTTGTGATATTTGTTACCTGCTGATTGGCTATGAAGCATCTTGGGAGGCACAGAGCTTAAATGAAGACCATATGCTATCAACCAGTTAAAAATAGAAGTGAATAAAGATTCATAATCACAATAGATGTGGTACCTACAGAAATGGAAGGGAGGCAAAGTGGGCAGCAAAGAGAACAGGAGGGAAGAAATACTCACTGCTAGAAAGTGTCAGGAGACAGAGTAAGAAGAATCAATGAAGACTGACACAGGACAGTCATAACCCAAGATGCAAAATACTGATGAAGGAAGGTCTGAGGAGCTAGACCATGTCCACTGAAACATTAAGTTTGGAAGCATCTGAATCTACGAGGTAAAAATGACCAACATGCAGCTGGAAATACAAGTCTGGAATTCAAAAAGGAGCTGTGAATGGAAACTATGGTCCTGTGATTACCCAAGATTTAGGAAGCAGTGACAGTGAAGTCTGGGAGAGGCCAAAGAACTGAGACCTGCTCTTCAAAACTGGAGACCAACCGAGCTGAAAGAGGAAGTAGAAACTGGTATCAGCAGAAAAGTAAGACTGAGCCCCAGAAGAACAACTTAAGAGGTCAGGATGACTTCAATGAGCTTCTACTGGTAGATCTACTGCTCACAGGTGGTTCAGGTATGAAGTTTTGTTTGTTTAAGAAAGTAAAGCCAATAGGTGGGTATGCTAAGAAATTTCCTGATGATGGGAAAGAGAATAAACAGATGATGCTTTGAAGGTAAGTAGAAAAAATTGAAAGCAAGTTAAGCAAGTTGGGTATTTTGTGTTAGGCTTGGTTTTAAGGACAAAATATTCAGAAAAGAGATATGCACAAACAGGATACTCAGTAAACACATATGTGTTACTTAAGTTCTCAAAATGAGAAAAACCATAAAATGCTTTCCAAAATTCAATGGAATAGAGTGCAACTCAATGGAAGAGTATAGAATTTTAACATGGTAATTACCAAGACAGCGCTTCACGGGGAAAGTATCAAACTTTTAACCTCATAATTCAAAATCAATCTGTATCTTAATTAAGACCATGTATAAGCACAGTGTCCATATCAATGATTTTTAAAAAAAAAAAGCAAAAACACTTGACCCAGGCACTAGTGGCTCACACCTGTAATCCAAGCTACTCAGGAGGCAGAGATCAGGAGGATTTTGGTTCAAAACCAGCCTGGACAAACAGTTTGCAAGACCCTATTTCAAAAAACCCATCACATAAAAATAAAGGGCTGGTGTAGTGGCTCAAGGTTTAGGCCCTGAGTTCAAACCCCAGTACCAAACAACAAACAAAGAAAAACACTTGAGACAGGAGTTGAGATGACTTTTCTTTTTTACATATTATCTTATGTTCATTGTATACCAGAAGATTTGGTCAAAAGTATACAAAGAATTCAAATTGGGAAAGATGGGACAAAACTTAGAAGAACAGTGCCTACGAAGGGCCCTGATGCCAGACAGAATGAGACACCAAGGTCCACAGACAGTAAAGGAGAATTTCTAAGAAGATTTACAAAGGAGGTAGATAAGCTTCTAACACTGAGGCAAAAATGAAGTATTGCTTAGAGTAAATACATAATGCCTGGAGCTGGCGGAGTGTCTCAAGTGGTAGAGCACCTGCCTACTAAGTATGAGGCCCTGAGTTCAAACCCCAGTACTGACAAAACAAACAAACAAAAATACACAGTTGCCTACAGATACAGTATTAAAATTTAAATGAATCATAAAAATAATAGTAAAAATAGATTACTCTCAAAACAATGTTACTCTTAACAAGGGCATTTCCAGATACTGTCCTACTATCCCCTACCACTACCTGAGATAATCTGAGAGTCACTGCCTTATCCCATTCCTATCAACACTTGCTTCCTTCACTGAAGATCAGAGCAGGAAGGGAAAAGAGATCAGCCAACTGATAATCCTTTTTTTTTTTTTTTTTTTTTGGTACAACTGGTGTTTGATCTCAGGGTTTCATACCTGCAAATCAGGCACTCTACTGCTTAAGCCACATCTCCAGTTCATTTTGTTCTGGTTATTTTGGAGATGAGGGTCTCTCGAACTATTTTTCCAGACTGGCTTCAAATTGCAAACTTTCTGAACTCAGCCTCCCAAGTAGCTAGGATTACAGGCATGAGCTACCAGTGCCTGACTCCAATACTTTCTTTATCAGTAACAAACAAAGCCAAACTATTCAGTAAATTAAAAGGTCAATAAACAATGTCATTTCATTTGCTCCTTCAGCAACTATAAACATTTATCCTCCCATTCCCCAATACTCAATCACTCAGCTAATAACTAATATAATTTTTCTTCAGTTGTCCCATCAACCTACAAGATGTTTTATCAGTACACAGGTTTAAATTAGATAACAAACGTGTGAATGTGTTTGTAGCTAAATGTTCAGGGGAAATCTGTCTTTATCACCTGTTTAGCATTTTATCACCTGTTACCCAAAGTTAGATCATAAATTCTTCTAACAATAGTTTATCTTAACATCCTAAAAAATTAGAACATTTACACGCAGTATGTGTTAAAAATTAGTGGTAACAACAAAATAGGAAAAAGAAATAGAAAATGATAATACAAAATTACAGGAAAAGAAATACTTTTACTTTCTATTACAGTAAAAGCTTTGAATGTCTACTATCTAATCTTACCTACACTGATCTACTAATTAAATATTAAGTGCCTACCTAAAAGTCGCTTCCCAAAAGCAGTTCATTCCACAAACATCAGAGGGCAGCATCCAATAGGGATTCCAGTAACACAGAGAGAAATCTTTACACCTAACAAACAGTGAGACAGAAATAAGAGTTCTATGTGAGTGTTTCAGTTGGGAAATAACAACATTTACTGAGCAACATGGTAACTTAACTTACTGTTTGTAACAAAATGGCAAATCCAAGTTGCTATGGTAAGTTGAAGTTTTTTAGAAAACTTATTTCTCCCTTACTTAGGGCACTGTTATTTTATATAAACTTTAAAACTTTTAAGTTAAAATACACTATAGATTGTGATATACTAAAATCCCTCCTCTTATGACACAAACGTCTGAATATTTTCTTCATGGACTACACATGTTATCCTAGAACAAAATTCATTTCATCCAAAAATGTTTTTGCTTACCCTGAAACAAAATGAGTGTCACAAATGCTGGGGGAAGAAGGAGGAAAGCTCACTAAATGCTTTTAAATTAATCCTCAACTCGAGCTACTTGCATGATGTTTTAAACTAAAAAATAAGAAATCTTGCTGATACTTAGAGCTCCATTTCATTTCTACATTATCTCAATTTCATTACATTATACAAGCTAAAATGGAAGGTCAAGTATGGTCTTTCTTAAGATTGCATGGTGGAGCTAAAATAGAAAAAAATGCCTCATATAAAAAAAAAGCATGTTTTTCATTGTTATTCCTTTTCAAAACAAGCATCTAAAGCTTTACAACAGTGGAGGTCTGGGTACTTATGTAAGCATGAAGTAGGGGTGAGTTACTAAACCACACCACTTCCACTTTATCACCACAGTCCTTTGTTTTCTCCCTCTAAATTAAGTTTGTAAGTTACTGTGCTTACATCAGAAGGCCTGTGAAATTTCAGATTTGCACAGCTCTCTGATGTCAAGGTCTAAGGCAGGGTTTCCCAGCCCTAGAGGTATAATGAAATCACTGGAGAGACCCACATCAGACCTATAAATCAGACTCTCTGGGAACAGGGTCTGACAATGATGATTTTTTTAAATGCAACTACAGAATTCTGTATACTACTCCATAACTACAAAATTACAATTTTAAAATCACCAAAAAATGTTAACATTGTAATTTGATTTTCTTTGAAGGACATTTTCTAGTACAGCACAATAAGTTAAAAATTTTAATTTAAAGGGATGATAAAACAGAAAAAGAAAATAAAATGTATACATATCAAGCTGGATGTGGTAGTGTAGACCTATAATCCCAGTCCTTGGGAGGTTGAGGTAGGAGGATCTCGAGTTTGAGGCCAGCCTGGGCTACATAGCAAGACTGTCTCAAGAAAAAAAGTGTACATCATTAACACTTATCACTTAATTAGAAAAATTTGGGTTTGTATCCTCCTAGGCATCATTATGTATGTTTAAAATCCTACATTTGATATCAGGGAGTTAAACACTGACATAGTTCTTTTAAATCATCTTTCAGATACTGACATTCTTCCAGCATTATTTCAAGAAATCTACAGTTTATTTACAAATCACCATCTACCATGCAGCTTTGTTTAGGAAGAAAAACACTATAAATGGATACCTCCTCTGTCAAACTATTCTACAGTGGAAAACGGACATGGAAATCTTAGTGAAAAATTCTACTGTTCCATAAAAATTACTTCAAATTATGTGTTTGTAACAATATCATTTGCAGCCTCAACTTTCACACTATGTTACAAAACAAATCAGTTAAGTGTTGTTTTCCAAATCTGCTTGGTCTTAAAGTCATTTACTAATCCAGGCCTACTTAATCAAGAATCTTCTCCAGGCATATGCCTGGACAAACTGAATATTTAGCCAACGACACCAGCCAGTTAGGTATTAAGGTCAGACCTGAGTAAGAATCACTGTTATCAAGAGTGAGTAGGGCATGAACCATCATTCCTATAATCCCAGCACTCAGGAGGCTGAGGCAAAAGGATGGTCAGCTGGAGGACAGCCTAGCTGTGAGACTCTGCACCATCCTGTCCTGCTCCCCACCCAAGGGTAGAAAAAAAAACAAAACCTGAAAAGCTAGTGGCTCAAGCCTGCAATCCTAGCTACTTGGGCAGCTTAGATCTATCTGGAGGATCATGGTTTTAAGGTTCCAGGCCAGACTGGGCAAAAAAAAAATTGCCAGACCTCAGAAAAATTGGGGTATGGTAGCACACACCATGTCATTCCAGTGACAGAGGGAAACAAAGTAGGAGGACTGAGGTCCAGGCTGATGTGGGCAAAAAGCAAAACCCTATCTATAATAACCAGCACAAAAACAGCTGGAAGCGTGGCTCAAGTGGTAGAGTGCCTGCCTCTCAAGTCCTGACTTCAAGTCCCAGTACCCCCACACACATAAATTAAAGTGTGTCAACTTGGAGTTTTTATCAAAAGTATCATGCCTATCATGTATACACTCTCAGTTCAACCTCTAGGACACCCCCCCCTCAAAAAAAAAGTACTCATAAAACTTCTCATATAATTGTCTACTTACAACTTATATAGATTTTCTAATTTTGTTTCTGCAAATGATTCAATCAATATATGATCATTAAGCACAATTTAGAAAATTTAAAGGCCTAACAAATCATCCACCACTGCTAACATTTTGGTATCTTTGCTACTCATATTTTTAAGATACCTGCTCACAAATATTTGACTATGAAAAGTTCACACTTGCTGCCATCATGCAGAAGTTGCTGAGACTGCTTAAGTTTCTATTAAATAAACAACCGGGTGAGCTACAGAACACTCCTCAAACTCTGTCCACAGGCAGTACCCACCAAGGAGCTTCTAAACTAAAGAGATGCTCTGCCGTATTACAATTAAACTACATTGCTAAAGAATATCTTAACAAAGTTGATCCAAGTTGGAAAGGCCATAGACGGGAGAATAAAATTCAACTAGACCAATACATGGGACAACTTAGTAATGGGTTTAAATCTTGGGAAGCCCTGAGCCGCACTAAGCCCCCTGCACTTCTGCAAGTGCCAAACTGAGTGCCAAGTGGAGTGGATTGGGGTGGTCTCAAATTCTCTGACACTTCTATTAGTAGGTAGGTTTTATCTCCCCTCACTCAAAACCTAAATGGGTTTTCACTGCTTTGACAAGGAGACAAGGATAGGACACTGTCAATTTTTAGGCCCTTGCCTTAAGAGCATGGAGATTTCCACGCCTTATTTCTTGGAACACCCAAGCCCCCTTCTCCATGTTACAAGAAGCCCAAGACAAAGGAAAAAAAAAAAAAAGCCCAAGACACATGGAGAAATCCTTTGAAAGAATGCAGGTCAACAACCTAAGTTAAGACTCTCAGCCAAAAGCCAGACCAATTGCTAGTCATGTGACAGGGTCACTGCTATACCATTCTGATCTACCAATGTACAGGGTCCTCTCACAATCAAAGAATATTAACATCTGGTTCACAGTCTTCCTCTCAGTGCCAAGTTCCATTTTCCTCTATCCACCTATTCAATAAATTATCTGAGTGAGAATGACTAAAGTACACATATATATATGCATGTTTGTGTGTGTGTATATATATATACACAAATACATGCAAATAACAGCATAATGAAACCCAATGAAAACTTAGAAAGGAGGAGGAGGAAGGACAGGAGGGCTCAGAGTAATATAGACAGGGTAAATTTGATCATACTACATTGTACATATGTAACTAACACAATGTAGCCCATCTGTACAATTAGTTAAGTAATCTGCTGAGTGACCACATACACAGGTCAAACACTGAACACAGCAGTGAGTAAAATGAACATGGATCGTACCATTTAGTGGGGAACGATAAAATGCCATCTTGGTTGTTGCAAAGTGGGAAACATGCCCAACACCCAGGTTCCACAACACTTCACCTCCAGTAATTTCTACTCCTTCCTTTCAGTTAAGAGATCGTATCTTGGACCTTTTGAGCACCTGAAACTACAATCCTAAACTCCAATATGTAATCTCAGACTAGTCTCTGTTAATCTTGTATCCCATTAAAGTTCTGGGAAAATTACCCAGAACTCCAACCACATGCTTCCTAATAAGCCCTATTCTGTACTCATTTCCCTCCTTATTCAGACTAGATCATTTGGTTCATCCACTCACTTTCCTACATCCACAATGTCTACTTCGTTCTTTAACACCTTTCCAGTAAAAACTTAATTTGAAGCAGAACCATTCATTCACCTTCTCAGATAACTACTTAATTAACGATGCCACTAAGGTGACTAGTGAAACTATAAATTCAGAGTTTCCTCCTTTAGCTAGCCCTTCAGCCTCACTACCAACTCCATGCACAGTCCACGTGCCCATCTTCCTCACTGGAGTCCTAAAGACCTCCTTACATCAATTAGCCTTTCCTTCTCCTTACTCAACAATACTTATTTGTATAGTAGGCTATATTTTATTGTTCATACATCCTTAAGTATAAAAGGATTGTACAAACCAATCATTACCATGTGACTTGTCTGCCTCTAAAGGGAGAAGAATATAGCCCTGCCTGATTCACTGACTTGTAGCTTATTCAAATGACTTGCTTTGGTTGAAGTAATATGAACAGACATGATCTCATCCCATCAAAGTAGAAGCTCCAAATGGGATTGTGAAGTTCAACCTACACTCTCACTCATTCCCTACACAAAACTGGTCATAGCCAATGCAAGGACTGCTTCTTCAGCCTGGGTTCCAGCATGGGAAGATATACAATGCAGAGTCACAGCCATGAGCATGCAACATGTGCAAGAAATAAATGTTGCTATAAACCGCCTAGATGGCTGGAGTTGTTATGAAGTGAAGAATAATAAAACTCCTAATTCCCTTTTAAATAAAGTGCACAAGTCAAATAGTATAGTCAGTATTGTACAATCATGTCCCACTAATTCTACTCCTAAGTACTTGTTCAGAGAAAACATCTATGTTCACAAAAAAAAACATACATGCATATTCATAGCACCATTATTCATAATAACCAAATAGTAGAAAACCACCCAAATGTTCATCAACTAATGAATAAAGAAACAAAATGAAGCATATCCATTCAATGAACTATTATTGGTCATAAAAAGGAATGCAGTA